CTGGACCAACATCCAGCCGAGAGAGGGCAGTCTTTAGAAGCAACAGGTTGGGAAACCAAGAGAACGCTTTGCTTAGCAAACGAGGCTAGGGACGAGATGGATGGTTATGATGTGGGTTTTGTTAGGTCAGGCCTTACTTTATATATATATATATATATATATATATAKAGAGAGAGAGAGAGAGAGAGAGAGAGAGAAAGACTTGTGATCATGTGAGGCTAAAGGTTTTTCGTGAGACTCGTAAGACCAATTCTCAATCTTTGTATTAGATCTACAATATGACAATCTTAACATTCAAAAACGCCATGAGACTTCTCAATAATCACAAAATTGTCACCGTGCAACTTCAAACCATTAGATTATTAGCTTATAAAGTTGATCAATGAACATAAATTGATCTTACGGGTCTCACGTGAACCCAATCCTATATATATATATATATATATATATATATATTATTTTTCATAAAGATTTTCCAAGTGTGCCAAGAAAGCCCAAAGTTCTGCTAATAAGAGAGAAAAAGGATGAAGTTGAGAAAGGAGTAGGGCAGGCTAATCACATGGTGCCCAACTCAAATATGTGGGCCTATGGGCCCAAACACACCATGGTCTTTTATTTTATATATCAATAAAAAACATCATTATGTCATGATCATCGTCGTCATTATTATCATCATTCACAGTATAATTGCATCTAACAAGATCCCAGTTCGAAAGACATATCTAAACAGTGTCGGATTCATTGAATCCAAATTTGTTAATGTTAGATTTTTTTGTTAATGTTGTATTTGTTTACGTGAATTTGTTAGCAGAAGACGAAATAGTTGTATTATACATACAACACCAAGTTTGATGACGAGGGTTTTTAACTTCTGTTCCATTCATCTTATAAACATTTCACCATTTTTGTGAGTGCATTTCGGTTCCCAAAATTGTGGGGGTTCTATCTGCACCATCGGCCGACATGAGGTGGACGTCTAGAAATAGCTCTGATACCAAGTTTGAAAACGGTTATAAAGAGAAAGAAATGTTGTGACAAAATGGTAATGCTCAACACAGATGAATTGAACTTATGACATATATATACCGAGAATTCACAACAATTATGACGGAATAATACAAAAAAATGATACACCAATATAACAACAATAGTTAGCTAATTCTAGAATATCCCGGTAGAAACGACTAGTGCAATTTCTCATTTCTCGACATGAAATTATAGTTCACATACCTTTTGATGTTGAAATTCCGTGCAGGTATTCATGAGCACAGCTGGAACAATCTACAACGAGTGTCAAAAACAAGTCAAAATATTTTATCCGAAACCAAATTCTCATTCTAACATCGGTAGTTTAAGGCTCGCTTGCCAACCATTACAAAGCCTTTCACATTCACGTTTTCCATAAAATAAAATGCAATAAAGAAAATAGGGTTTGATGATTGGTTTGAGCTTGGCTCCAAAGGTCAAAAGTAGCAGGAAGTCTCAAGTTCAAATCCAAGGGGAAATAAAAATTCCCTTGTGGCCACGAAGGTTCAAATGCAGTGACTCCGGGTTATCTGCAAAGCAGGTGGTCGTCCTGAAATTAGTCAGCTCACATAACGGGTTGAATATCCAAGTTAATAAAAAAAACATAAATCATAATGGTTCAACCAACATAAGCCTTATTCTTGTGTCGACTAATAAATGATGTGGTTGTCCCTTCCCTTCTCTACCATATATATAAAACTACTTTGGTTATTTTTGACTTAGTTTGTAAATTATTTATTTTATATAAATCTTATAAACGATTTTTGTAAACTATATGTATGAGTCTGTTTAATTAAAATAAAATAAAAATTATAAAAATTACTTAATTACATTATTGCTCTTATTAAATTATTTATATATAATAAAAATTAATTTATTAATTAAAAAAGTTTGAGGTTATTTCTCGTAAATCATAGGGGTTCTCGTTTGAACCTCCACTATATATATATATATATATATATCAACTAATTTCTTCCAAACAATAACTGTAATGAATTTTGTCCTAAATTTTCTAATGCAAGACCAAGGCGATATCTAAAGGGGCTAAAGAACCCCAACAAACAAGCTATTCTGAACGAATTTTAGAAAAGAAAAAAACGTATTTAAAAAGGTCAACTTTATTCAGATATTAATAATTGAAATATCATTTTGTTTGGAAAACAACCCTCATGAGACCGAGACCGACATACCTTGTCGACTTTTCTACATCTCATTATTACTTTATGAGCGAATTACACTGGTGGTTCTTGTTGTTTCCTCGAAATTTGGATTTCGTTCATAAAGCAAAGTATATACACCGATGGTCCCTAACTTTTCAATTTAATAACACTAATGGTCTATGGAGTTAGCACTGCCAGTTAACGACCATTATAATAGATATATCAGTATTTGGGAAAAATATGAATGATTGTATACAATCATCATCATTTGTTCCTTGTTTTAATTTAAAAACATGTTCGATAGCAAATATAAAATAAGAGCATCTGCAACAGATTCTTTAAAATGAAGATTTTTTTGTTCCAACAAATTCCCGAAAACCTTTTTTAAAATCAAAAGTTAAAGCTCCAAATAAAATTGTAACAAGTTGGAAGAATAAAAAATAATTTCTCTTTTATAGAAAATCATTTTTGAAGCGTTAAGTTTGGAGAAATTCTCATACTTTCTCTATTTTTGAAAAGGGTTTCGGAGAATCTAATAGAATAAAAATAACCAAAATCTCTATTTTGAAGAATCTAGTGAATATAATTTGAAATGTTCTAAATTTGAGGAAGTTTTCAACTACGAAAGAGAAATTAATTTTTTATTATTTTTATCAAATAGAATCCTTAAAATTAAAAAAACATATATATATATATATATATATATATATATATAAGGGTACTCGCGCAATGCAGCGGGATACATCTCGATTTTAATGTTTTATTTTATTTGATCTCTGTCGATGTTATAATACGATTTTATGTGACACCAAAAAAACGATAATGTACCAAAGGGCCTTTGGCCTAGCGGTATCGTAGCCCTTGGCCTTCTAGAAGGTCAGGGGTTCAAACCTTACCATAGGTGAGGAGGGTGTGTGAGTTTATTTGTTACATTTGTCGCATAGAAATATTATATACTTAAAAAAAACGATAATCTTTTTATTTTTTTTGAATAAAATGTAAATTTGAAGGTATCATAAAATTTAAAAAAAATATATATCGATTTTTGTATCAAATTAAATATTTAAAAGTTCTTATTTCTATGTAATTTATTTAATTCTATTTTTATTATAATTCAATTTAGATTTAATAATGAAGTCATTTATTTTTAGTTTAACTAGAAGGGTACTCGCGCAATGCAGCGAGATAAATCTCCATTTTAATGTTTAGTTTTTATTCTTCTCTATCGATATAATACGATTTTATGTGGTTTTGAGAAAACGATAATGTTTTTAT